TTTGGCAGCATATCTGCCTACAGCCCTCCAAGCCTCCCTGTGGCTGCCCTCCCCAGTGGGCCTCTCCAGCACCCACTCACTGCCTGCTGCCGCTTCTAGGCTTTGCACTTAGCTCCCACAAACCCCTGGGCAGGGGGCTGGGGTAGGTACCAAGCCAGAGCCCCTTTGCCTGTCCCTTCTCACATCTATGGGCACAGAAGGAGCTAATGGTCAACACAGCTTCTGGACTCACCTGGGTTTGAAACTGAGCTCTGCCACAGATAAGCTGTGTAACCCTGGACAGATCGCTTAATTTCCCTGAGCCTCAATTTTTGCACCTGTAAAATGGAAATGAAACAGCACCTGCCTTAACAGGTGCTGGCATGTTGCCCCACCATCAACAACTGACTGTACTATTGTGTAATAGTCATCCATGGCTTCCAGTCCAGGGCTTGCCATCCACTTGTGCAAGCTGGCATGGGGTTTCCCCCTCTGGGCCTCACTTTCCCCATCTGTAAGACTAATGTTTTGACAGTGATTATCCTAGTCCCCAGACACAGGGGCACCCACAGAGTACAGGAGGGGCCAGGGTCTTGTTTCCCCTTTCCATTCAATATCAAGAAATCCACATGGGCTTTTCAGAGTTGTATCTTGGGTCTTTGTACCTAAGTCTTAGACTGGATGGGTCACAGCTGACCTAAGGTCTACTCTGGGAATAAGGGGTGTCCCTCATGTTGACCTTGACAATTAGTACACTGGTGGTCAAGCACCTGGCTTCATGCTGCTGTGGGGTGGGTAGGGAGAGCCCCCATTTTACAGAGGGCCTTGTCCTATCTCCACTTCTGACAAGGAGACCCTAAGTACTTCTCAGGAAGGGTGTACTGAGCCCCGTCGCTCCGTCCGCACAGGTACCCCAACAGGCTCCGGGCCAACCCGCTGCTGGTTCCCAAGCAGGGAAGGAGGAGCTTTATCTAGAGCAGATTCCAGGCCTCTCCTATTAGCCTGATGACTTTAAGCCTCAATTTCCCTATCTGTATGACAGGGGAAATGACTGCATCTACTCAGAGTAGGGGTTTTAGAGGGTTCAGTGAATTCATGGACTGACGGTGCCTGGCACACGGTAGGTGTTTAACGGATGTCGACTCCCGCCTCCCCGCCCCCCGCCCCC